TCATTGTTAAATCTGCAGTGCAACCGGTCCTCGGATGTGATGTTCTGACCAACTTCCACACATGCACATCCTGAACAACTTCCACTGAAACATCCTCAGTGAGGACTTTCATCCTGACTGTTTTTGCAGCTGCTCCGGAGGGCCCTCTGTGATCACAACCCAAATAGCTGTGATACTGATATAAGAATATAAACTGAAACAGTAGAAGCACAGATCTTATTATTATTTTAAACATAAAAGATCTTAAAATGTAAAAACAGGTTAGTTGAATCTATCTATCTATCTATCTATCTATCTATCTATCTATCTATCTATCTATCTATCTATCTATCTATCTATCTATCTATCTATCTATCTATCTATCTATCTATCTATCTATCTATCTATCTATCTATCTATCTATCTATCTATTAAAAATTTGGTTTTGTTATACAAGGACTTGAAAAGAAAAGCTACAAATTTCTGCGGTTCGTACCAAGACTTGTTGAGAGTTCAGTCCAGTAGATGGCACTAACGCAAGCTCACGATAATGTGTGCTCTTTAAATAGGTCCCCCGCAAACAAAAACGAGCCAATTATTGTATAAGCGTTCCACTAAATCCTAAACCAAACATATCAGCAATTAAAGATCATATTCATTTTTTCATTTGCACAGCATGAGTACTCACTCCATAGTAAATATCGACTGAGATCACAGGCGACTTTAAACCGTGTCTTAATCCTAACGTTAAATAGGTGGAACGCGTGTTTCCTGTTTTTAGCTTAGCATCACCGATGCTGTATGTTTTTTCGTTCACGACACAGCAGTAAAACACTGATTTCACAGCTATGGATTCCCTGAACTTTGAGTCTGAGATGGAGGCGGATGGGCAGGGCAGTTACTCTCTGTTTCCAGCGCTGGACAGCATGAGCAGCCTGACTGGAGCCGCCGAGAGTCTTGACCCGTGAGTTTAATAAGAGGATTGATTGTTGCATTATTTTTCCAAGCTGTGTGATCTTACTTCACAAAAATGCTCCAAATCCAGTTCCTGGCGTCATGTTTAGGGCGTGGAAGAATTGCTAGGTTTGAAATTCAATTTAACTAACGTTATAGTCCCACGATAGGTGCCAGACTCAAATATCATCGCCCTCTGACTTTAATTTACGTTACCATGAAAAATGTTCAGAAGACAGTGCTGTAGTGCACGTCCCAAACATTCTAGTAAGATATTATAGCACAACAGCTAAAACATTGTGATAACCTTAGTGTTTTTTACTCAAGTTATCATGTAAAGAAAAGCACTTGAATGTAGTGAACCCTGAGTGCTACAAATACATGATGCCATCTGATGCCTACTGTAGTTTTACAATAAAAAAAAATAATTAAGTTCACCTAATAATGAAAATTGTTCTTCACTTCCAAACCTGTTAGATTTTTTTTTTTTCATCTGTTGAACTTTAAATATTTTGATGAAAGTTGAAATCCTGTAACGTTTGCCATTAACTTCCATAGTCTTTGTTTTTTCTGACTGCGGATGTCAGTGCCAGTTGTATTTAATGTTCAGCTTTTTATTTAGTGTTTAACATAAGAAAGGAGCTCATGAAAGTTACTAACCACTTGAGGATAAGTAGATTTTTATTTTTGGGTGAATCTTCCATCAAAAGCTGCAAGTATTGAGTTTAAAGGGGTCTGTCTCAATAAAAAAAAAAATAGATCTGTCCCTCTTTTATGAAAAATAATGCTTTTACACTTTTACATTTCTTATTGTATTTGGTTTTGAGCAATTAACTGCATGTTATTTACAGTCCAGTTTAATTATATTAAAGATGATAAAATAAATGTGGGGCGTCATGGTGGCGCAGTGGGTAGCACCATCGCCTCACAGCAAAAAGGTCCCTGATTCGAGCCCCGGCTGGGTTAGTTGGCATTTCTGTGTGAAGTTCTCATGTTCTCCCCGTGTTTGCGTGCGTTTCCTCCGGTTACCCCCAAAGTCCAAAGACATGCATTATAGGTGAATTGAATAAGCTATAAGCTAAATTGTCCATAGTGTATGTGTGTGAATGCAAGAGTATATGGGTGTTTCCCAGTGTTGGGTTGCAGCTGGAAGGGCGTTCATTCATTCATTCATTCATTTTCTTTTTGGCTTAGTCTCTCTGCTGCGTAAAACATGCTGGATAAGTTGGTGGTTCATTCCACTGTGGCAACCCCTAATTAATAAAGGGACTAAGCTGAAATAAAAATAAATGCATGAATGAATAATATTAAATGTAATTACTTTTACTTTTGTGTCATCCTGTAGTATAATAGTCAATACTTAAGTTTATGTGTACATTATGCACACCAAAGAATATTAAACCCTTATGATTTAAGAACTTTTGAGCATTTTTTGGAAGGGGTGTTTAAATTAGTAGCATAATTTATTTATTAAATTTAATCAATTGAAATAAAAAATCTATTAAATTTATTATGTCGTTAATTTAATGGTATTTATGCTACTCTTTAACACCAAGAAGAAAGCATGTCTAAGGTCATTTTGAACCATAGTAGTTTTTAATGTTCTGTTTGTTTATCACCTAATTCACACTTATTTATTCATGGCATTTGTTAATAAAAATGACCCAATGTTTTAATTTGTGCATTGTCAATACTTGATCATGAACCATGATTTCTAAACAAGAGCTGGAGTGGGTTTGTGTGAAGTGTTTTAATTATACTGCTGCTGTGTTTCAGTGAAACCCCCAGCGAGGTTGCAGATAAACCAAACCTCACATGGCTCGATGCTGCTCAGGTAAAAATAATCTTTTTTTTTTAAATTATGTTGTGGTTAATTGACACCAATTTCCTGTCATCAATTCAATAACTTTTCTTATTTTCAAGATTGTTTTGGAAGAGGCTGGACGGCCCATGCACATCAAAGAGATCAAGCAGCGGATCATTGATCGCGGACTGGTGCAGTCAAAGTACAGAAACAGTTTAAAAATGAATAAATATTGCCATGTTTACATTTTTTTCAGTTCATATTTATATTTGGGATGCACCAAAAGTAATATTTAACTGATATACATTTTTGGCTGATTTTGATACCAGTATTTGTCACTTGCTCACTTTAATTTAACCACTCATTTGAAGATAATTTAAAAGTTTAGTTGGTTATTGCTGCATCATCAGATGATTATTATTATTCGCATGACTGCCTTTACAACTGTCCAAAAAGGTCTGATAAATATCGATGGCCGATACTTTACATTGATGCATCTCTGTTTCCCTTTTCATGTTTTTTTTATTTTATTTTAATTTTTTTTGCTGTTCACTAAAGGGATAGTTCACTGAAAAATGAAAATTGTCATCATTTACTCACCTTTTACTTGTTTCATACCAGTTTGAGTTTTTCTGTTCTGTTAGGGCCAGGACCCAACCAAAGCCAACTGTGTTGTCAGCTCACATCGGCTCACTTCTGGTCCCATCTGGACCAAAAAGCTAAGCTAAGTGTGAACAAACCAAACGTATGGTAGCCGACTGAAATAAGAGTGTGTGTTTTTTCTGCAGCTGCTGGATGCAGCAATCTGTTTTCTCATTTGGCAATGGGTAAGCAGAAAATTAAATGCGAAGAGACAAATCATTAAGTAACATTATCACAGTAATTGTTACTTACCCTGGACCAAATATGTCTGATAATCTAATAATCCATATCATTTGCAAATATTTGAGAAATGTCGCAAAATTACTGCTGACTTTGTGTTACTTTTTGACTTGAATTGTTTACTTGGGTACGTCACTGCAGTTTTTATTTTCACATGCTGATTTGTTGCTGAATAACCAATCAGAGCACTCTCTTAAGCCAACATTTGATGCCAACTCTAGGAACGAACACACCAGCCCGACAAAGGCTGACCATCTGCTTGTTGTGTCCTGACCTTTAAACAAAAAATGGAGATGAATTGAAAAATGTTGAAACCTGTGACCACTGACTTCCATAGTATTTGTTTCTCCTACTATGGAAGTCAGTGGTTACTGATTTTCCCTAAATATCTTCTTTTGGGTTCAACAGAACCAACAAAAACTCCAACTGGTATGAAACAAGTAAAGGGTGAGTAGATTATGACAGAATACATTTTATTTGAGTGAACTATCCCTTCAGTTATTTCAGTTTATTATAGCTGCTTCTTTCCTGCTATATAAAATTGTTTTATATTGATAAAAAATCATTTAATGGACTTGGGTGACTTATACATTGGTGCATCTGTATCTGCATCTTTCTAACAGTATCTGTTTCTTTTGCTATTTTTTCAAAGTGCAAAGTCAAGCCTTGAGGCGGTCATGTATCGAGAGGTAAGATTCACGTCACTACACACTGCTATTTACCATATTTCTTTGTTTTCCCATTCAGTGTCAGTTTCCTTTACTGTTTACTTTTGTGCATGATTTCATATTTATTTGTCTTTCATGTTTGCATTCATTGAAGCTCGAGAATTAATAATATAGGGAAAAAAACTGTAAAGTCAGAGCAGTCTCTCGCTCAGAGAGTCTTCATAATGAGAGGTCAGCGTTCGCTCTACAGCATTTGCTTTAGTTTGACGGTGTGTTACAGACACAGAAAGGGAGCAGACGCTTCAAGAGGATTGAGAGCAGAAATGGAGTTTTTGCTTTGTTGGTAAGTTGATTGTCAGCACATGTCAGCTAGCTGTAAGTGTTTTAGACTGCTTTTAACTTAGAAATAGTGTTTAGGACGATGTGTGCCACATCTCTTTGATGTTTTAAGTTATTTTTGGGCTATTTTTGATGTCCAGTCATCAATTTTCTTATCATTTTTTATTTCATATTTTGAATGTTGTTCAGATTCTACATCAAGGTCATCCACACAAATAATTAAGCATGCTTTGAAGTGCAAAATGCGTTTATGCAAACTTAATGTCTACATTACTGGTTTGCAGTTGTTAATTATTTGTTACAAAGGTTAAAATATGCTTTGACATATTAAATGACTAAAACTACTCTACTATATTCTTCTGCTTTTATATGATTGAATTTTCTAAAATCTAAGATATTATTTTGGCTTTTTAAGCATTTTAAGCGACTTTGTCTAAAATAATTTACATTACTACAGGAATAAAGAAGTCAAATTGAATTGAGTTGAACTAAAAACAACCAGAACTTAAAATGAAGTTTTAAAAAATTATCTCAAGTAATTTTTCTTATCTATTTTTATGAAATTAAATGATTTGCTTTTTCAGTGCCATCAAAATTCAAACACCACTGACACCTGCTGGTCAGAAGGCTGCAGCAATTCTAAATGCAACAAACACAGCTCAAACATTTATACATTTACATTTATTACTGGTGTTGGTGTAGTATAAAAATGTCGTTTGACACTTTTAATATTAATTATCTTTTGTTATATTTGTATTTTAAGTTAGTAGCGCTTAGATATTAGTGCTTAATAAATGGATAATAATACAGTAGTAGTTGTTTAATTAGTGACTAGAATGTTTATATTTTATTTGCTATGGGTTAGTTTTTTTTTCATTGACTTATTGGAATCTGTCTCTGAAGTCTCTGCTATTCAGCTTTTACTATTGTGTATTACAACTGTGACGAGTACATACTTTGTATGCACTTATATAGGTACGATATACTATATATTTTTTCAAATACTAGTACCTATCAATAGATACTCACACTTAATCATTACATACTAGTAATTATATCGATTACAAGGGTAAAATACCTAATGGACTACTATTTATCTTATTATTATTACTATTTATTTACTATTTTTTTAGCTGTTGTATATATTCAAGACATACTAGTACACATTTATGAGATGCTAGTAGTTATTTCAAATGTTATTAGTAGTATAAAAATAAGTATATTAGTTCTAGAACCTAATGTATGTTCTAGAACTGCCTCTAAAACCCGGCAGTATGCACCAGTCACACATGGGATACACGCTAATCAAAGATCTCATAGAAGGCTATGGCAAAAATGTAAAATGTATTGCTTGTAACAATACACTCATTCCTAATTACAAGTGAAAATAGTAATAGTATTGTTCGCATAAGTAATATCTAGCAATACAATCTACTAACTAGGCATAGCATGTTGCATTGGTTATTAGTCAAAACATACAGTTGTAGCATAAGAAAGCTTCTTTTACTGAATTCACTCTATGCGCTCTGAACTGCAGGTTGCAAATAATTTTTAAAGCTTTCAAAAGTTCAAAAAGAATTACCTTGAAAGCACCCAACCCTATTGTACTACATAGTTTTCATCAATTTAATGGCATATAAAGAATAAACTTCTCTCTCATCACTGCTGAACTTCTTTATTGTTAACTCTTTAATTATTTGCATCTCGTGTATGCAGACGGATGAAGAGAGACAGCATGCATTGCAGGCGTTCTCTGCCCAGTCGGCCTTTTCAAGTTCAGGTTCTGGCTCATCTCTGGGACCCCTTCCTTCTCCAACGAGCCACACTGAGTCCAGATCTAAAGTCAGGAAAGGTCCTCGCAAGAACCAAAATGAGAAGTACCGGTTGAAGTATATCCGCCTTCGCAAAGCTTCTCGTGCCATGATATTTGTGAGTAAATGAAAAGGTTTTTTGGACATTATTATGGTGCCCATGCTTGAACTGGTGACTTTCGACTCACAGGAAAATGCAGCATTATATGATGAGATTGCTCACCTGGAAGAAAAGTTTGTCAGGGCAAAAGAAGAAAGGAGGTATGTCCGCACTCTTTATTTATTTTTTGTTACATTACATTACTTTTTACATTACTATTTATTTGTTAGTGTATTTGTTTATTTGTTTGTCCTTTTGTTTTTTAAAATAAAATTCAGATTGCTTAATCATAATAATTTAATAAAGAGGTTTACAGAAAAATCTCTGTCAAAATTTGTATTTGGTAAATGTCCTCATTTAATACTTTTTTTGTATTCCCAAAATGTATTTTTCTTAGTTTGTTTTTAGCAAGAATGCATTAAGCGACAGTTAATGTATTTAATGTTGCAAAATAGTTCAATTCAAAAAGCTTAAGAATCTTCAAACTAAATTTGTATAAAAATTCTAACTAAAATATTAAACACAACTTTTTCAACATCAGTCATTTAAAAAAAGTGTGCTTTGAGCCCCTAAACAGCTTACTATGATGCGACATAAATGCTAATCATTTGCACAATACTCCAAAATATGTTTACAATAAGTGAAAATGAGTTAAGTTTTTAAAATTCAGAGAATTAACTTCTGTTAAGCAAAACACTGTAAACTAACATAAACAATTAAAGTTTTACTGCTTTTAGATATTACAAGATTAATAAATGCCCTAAAAATATTTACATTTACATTTAGTCATTTAGCAGACGCTTTAATCCAAACCGACTTATAAATGAGGACAAGGAAGCAATTTACACAACTATAAGAGAAACAATGAATAAGTGCTATAGGCAAGTTTCAGGTATGCAAAGAAAGTGTAATAAGCAAAACATTAGTATTTTTTTTAATGTAGTTATTGGAGAAGTCAGAGAGGGAATTGCATATTAGAAAGGAAAGTGGAGACTAAATAGTTGAGTTTTTAGTCGTTTTTTTTAAGACAGTGAGTGACTCTGCAATTCTGATGCTGTTAGGGAGTTCATTCCACCAACTGGGCAGATTGAGCGCAAGAGTTCGGGAAAGTGATTTCTTCCCTCTTTGAGATGGAACCACGAGGCCACGTTCATTCACAGAATCAAGTTTCTGGAGGGCCTATAAATCTGCTGAAGTGAGAGCAGATAAGAAAGGGCGCAGCCAGAAATCGCTTTGTAAGCTACTATCAGAGCTTTGAAATTGATGCGAGCAGCAACTTGGAGCCAGTGCAAACGGATGAGTAGCGGAGTGACATGTGCTCTTTTCGGTTCATTAAAGACCACTCTTGCTGCTGCGTTCTGAAGCATCTGAAGAGGTTTGATAGAGCTAGCTAGGAGCATACTATTATAAAGCATACTAAATATGGTATACTATTAGTTCATGTTAGCTTCTGTAATATCTAATGTTAACATTTTATACTTTATTGTAAAGTATTACTGGTTATACTGTATTTCGATTCTCTTTTAAATGAATAATTTACATGGCATGCTATGCAATGAGATTTTTGTGCATATACATTAGAATAATTGGTACCAAAGCCAAAACTAATGATTTAGGAACTAATTACTTAACTTACTTACTAAATTACTTAAGATCACAGTGCAAAAATTACAATGAATATGTTGTGGAAAAATATTGAAATTAATTTTAATAAAAAGGAAAAATCAGGACAATCACAAACCATGTTAGAGTTAGTTGGTACATTGTTGTTTGTAATTATTATTATTTTTAATTAATTTAAATGAATTGTTATCTTTCTCTTTCTAGAGATCTTGGGTTACCATAATCTAATTTTAGAATTTGAATACAACTGTTTAATCAAATGTTTTTTGTTGAAATCCACCAAAGTATATTGTCTACATTCACTAAGAAAGGGATTAAAATGTTCATTTTCAAAAGCGGTGTACTTGTATATGCTTTGCGCTCTATTTAATGAGTAAAGTAATGGTCATTGTTTGCAAACCTGACCCCTGACATAAAGTCTGCTTTCTGTTTTTCCAGATTCCTGCTGAAGTCTTTGTTGCAGTATCAGTCAGTGGCTGAAGGAGAGCCCGTGGTGACTCCTGGCTGCAGCACACATACACCTGTCGCTCTGAGCTCCAGCACACCAGGTGGCGCTACTCTAGCAGGGAGTCACAGCCTGACCACTGGGCTCTCAGGACCTGAAGACAGCCTTTTGAAGAAACCCAAAAAAGAGCGAAAAGAGAGAGGAAGAGAGACCAGCAGGGAAGAACGTATGTATTTCTGACCAAAGTGTTTTCTACATTGTGTGTGCATTAATCGCCGTAAGCGAGCCGACACTGCCGCATCCGCGCCGGAATCGGGCCGAGAGTAATGTGCACTGCGGCCCGGAGCTGGCGCGACTCAGTATTTATATACTTTTATATAAAACCTTTTGGTATTACATTGGTACTTGATACATGGTATTACAAGCCTTTGAGTTGATATAACAGCAAACGCCTGTGTGTCTGCTTGGTGCTTGTGTGTGTGTTAGTGCGCGCATGCGCCCGTGTATGAGAGAGAGAGAGAGATTTGTCTGTGTGTGTGTGCTTGGTGCTGTGTGTGTGTGTGTTTATACAGACAGCTTGGCTGTCTGGACTGTATAGCTGGGAGATTTTCGGTTTTGTTCTCCCCCGCTCTTTAGCGGGATCGGGCGCGGCGGCCAGAAAACGGGGCGGGTCGGGCAGCGGGACAATAAATTCTTAATATAAGCGGGAGCGGTTTTGTTCGGGCTAAAACCTGGCGGGTGCGGGATTCAAAATTTAGTCCCGGGCAGATCTCTAGTTTGATACATACTACATCATTAATGAACCTTTATGCTGCTTGGCTACAAGCCCTGTCAATCTGGTCACATTCTCCACATTTCAGTAATCATTCAAAGCTTCTTCACTTACTAGGTTTGTAGTTTTTTAACACTTTTACCAATGTTTGTAGTTCCAATCAAATTCACAGCTCAACACGCAATGTGCCATTTAAAATAAGATAGGTCTGCACTATGAAATTCTACAGGAAATAATAGACCCAATATGTAACTTTAGGTTACTTATTTAAAGATACTCTGATTATGGGACACACTAACTTTATTTTTCTCCAAAAACTATTATGATTTTTTTTTTTTTTTTTTTTAGAACTATTTAAGATGAATATTGTGTGAAATTATGTGAAACTGCATATTTGTCTGTATTTTGAAATTGCATATGTTTGTTTGCTTTACTTACAGTCATGAGGAAGATTTGTAAGAAGAGGAAGGTAGCTGAGGGAGGAGCACGCAAGCTCGTGCAGCCCATCTCGCTAGACTCTTCTGGAAGGCCACTCTTTCCCATTGTGCTCGGTGGACTCACTGTTTATAGCCTCGGGGAGGTCAGACAGTTATTCAATCCTAATGTGTCCTTATACAGTCTTTATGCTGTTTCCTTGAAGTTGCATTCATGTAAACATTTTTGCCAATGGCTGGGAATGTTAGAAAGCTTACCAGTCATTTTTTTTTACCAGCTAAAAAACTATTTTCTTTGAATAGGGAATTAATTCGCTTTATTAACTGAAAGCCAGGCAGTCAAATTAGCGTACTCTTGTTTTCGCGCTCTAGACTCTCGATTTTGGTCTTAGAATAACTAAAATACTATTATATATTGAAGATCAACCAGACAAGGGTTGCTGATTATAATTATTGTTTTATGTTTGTGCTTTTAATCGCAGATTATCACAGACAGGGCTCTGTTTCATGATGACACCGCTATCTATCCTGTGGGGTTCTGCAGCACTAGAGTTTTCGCCAGCATGAAGAACCCTGATCAGAAGTGTCTGTACACCTGCCAAATCAAAGATGGCGGCCAAGGACCACAGGTGCACACTTATTTATGTGTTAATTTAAGTATCTCTAATTTACTTTGAGAAATATGTATAAATACACAAGCACTAATGCTTTTTAAATGGAATATATAAGAGATAATTCACAGCTAGATTCGTTTAATGTGATTTGTGTGTAATGTGCTCACTCAGGGATGTGATTGTTCTGTATAAGTAGGGATTTCCGTATTTTCTGAGCTTAGTGGGGCGACCCCTGTAATTTGCCTTAATGTTTTTTATTTTAATGTGGGGGGGGGGGGGGGGGGGGTGTCTCTATAAGGTTCATTGTCATCAAAGCAGAGATTCTAATTGATGGTTTGTGCCGTCATTGTTCATTATTGTGCACAAGAAGGAACTGGTTAATTCCGGACGTTATTCAGGGATGACCTATTAGACAACTGTGCATATAATATAGTCCTATAATGTACACAGATGATGAAGCAGCTGACAATATGCAATATTATGAAATGGCTTTGAATGCACGCTCGTCTGTGCACTTTTTCTGCTTTCACATTTGCACATCATGACCACGTGCGCTCTATACATTATAAATAAGGCCAGGATGCACATTTGTTTTTATTCTCTCCAAGTCATCTGTCCTTACGTCTTCATTTATTTAGTGCTACAGCCTATCACCTGAAGTTTAGTACCAGAAAGTTAGGTTTAGATGATATTACACATTTAAAAATATAGTTTTAATAATTCTAAAATATTAAAAAGTAGGGACTACAGTGAAGAGAAGGGAAAGTGATAAACTATTTTTATCAGTGTATGATATCTTTTATGGAGCATAATGTTAAAACATATAAGGCTACTCAATTCAACTGGGCTTAATATTTTCACTCTTCGACATTGTTGACAGACTAATAGTTTATTACGTGGAATAAAGAGTCTACTAAATTACAGGTAAATTATATTCTTTAGACAACAGAACTAACCGAGTTAGTTGCGCCATCTGGCGGCGGTTTGTGGATCTGTCCTGATATTGAGGTACAATTATAAACCTATTAAATATTATTTAGGTCAGGGGTTCTCAACCTTTTTAATTTCGAGGCCCTCCTATTTCTCCAAAGTTCTTTTGAAGGCCTCTCTAAGACTGATTGTCTAGAGAAAATGCTTATTTTGAAGCTTTATTTATTAGCAAAACATTTCTTTTTTTCTCATAAAATATAATAATTTATTTCAATATAATAAAACAACACACAGACAGGATCAAAGCTCCTGAATTTATTACTTCAGTTATTCTTTACAACTGCAAAGTATTTAGGCCTTTTCTTCAGTAAAGGAGCCTGACAGGACTACAGGAGATAGCTGCTTTGAATTAGACTGACGTCTATTCATCTATTGATCTATATCTATTAAAATAAACAACCTAACGCTAAATGTAAAATACGGTAAAAACCCTCTAAGTCTGTTAAAACACCTCAATCTGAAGGTGGTTTGGTTTGTAGCTGGACATTATTGTCCTGTACGGACGTGCGTCAGTTAGAAAATGCTTGCAGGATGTTAATTTGGACAACTATGCGAATATTTGAAAGTGTTCACACAGAGAAAGCACGCATAGTTTGTGCATCAACGAACTTGTGTGACTTTGATACAGCACAAGTTACAGACGTGAGGTACGTGCGAGCGGGAAATGCCATTACTACTATAATTTTAATATGACATATTTAATAATGAAATCAAATAATTATAGTATAATGTTTAATTAAATTTTAAGCTATCTTGCGGCCCACCTGCAGGATCGCTGAGGCTCACTAGTTGAGAATCCCTGATTTAGGTGACTATTAAACTGCTAAACATTTAAACTGATAAAACAAAAAAAAAAAATTACTTAAATTGTGTGGCCAATAACAAATATTTATAAAAAGAATATTATGTATTATTTTTTGTATTATTATTTTTTAAATACACACAAATCAACCTATATATATATATATATATATATATATATATATAGTGTTTCTTCTTTTTTGTCTTTGGTTGAACACATGCCTGTCAGTAACGTTCTGCACACTTTATGGCTCACTTTAAGCTCTATTTTATACATATACATTATATGTATAATGTACATTATATATTTTTATATTCCTTTGCCTACTCTTGCTCTTTGAAACAGAGTGACAAGAGGTAAGGGTGAACATATTCACCTAGAGATGGGACACCACTGGTACACTGCATTACATCATCATAGGTCGGCATATATTGTTGATGTAACTCTGAGAAATGTACAAGTGTAATTAATGTTATGTTATAATGCGTAATTTAAATGTATTGCTTTGTACTATTTCTAACATGGTATGCTCTCAGATCCTCAGTTATCAAACATAAAACATGATTTGATATTACTGTTTTGATTTTAGTTAATGTAAGAATAAGAATATTACCATCAGCATAAACACACAATATTAAATGTGACAAATAAAATAATAAATTGTCTTTCAAAATCCTCATTATAAAAAAAAAATAAACAGTTGCATTTTTAACAATTTCTGGAAAATTAAATTTGACAAAATAATAATTTGTCCCTAAAATCCTTATTTTTTAAAAAAAAAAAAAAAAAAAAAAAAGCTGTTGCATTTCTAACAATTTTTGCCCTTCCCTTTACCCCTCTAATTAAAATAATCAAATCAAGATAGATATTTCACATGGAGGCACAAAATAGTGGAGTAGGGGTTCACACACCAAGCATGATAACTACACAGATAACAAAAAAACAAAAACAAAAAAACATTCACAGTAAAAAAGAATGGCATAGTTCACAACGTTATCTACAGCAATAAAGATACAGAGGAACGAACCCGTTGGGATCACTTTAAGAAAAATTAAAGGGCTCACACTATTTAAAGATACAGACAACACTGTTGAGAAGCACACTGCTTGAGGTAAAACCCTCTTTTAAAAGATTATTTAGAGATAATTACTATCCTGGAAACTATTGGTTGTACCATGGGAAGTGATGCTAAAAACACATAGAAATTTTGAAAGTCAAAGTTATTTTTTAATCATTCCTGAATGCTGAATCTCATATTTTTAGATGCAAAGACAAGTTCTGTGTGAATGGCACCTAAGTTGTTGCACTATTGTCATCTTTTTCTGTCTAGTTATTGGCGCCTGTGGACTGACTGTTTTTGTTGTCCGAATACTTGAATTGAACTGTGCCTGTACCCTGATGGTTTGGGTTGTATAAGTGTACCATTTACTTCTAATGCACAGAGATTGTTTTTCTGTAAAGCAAGTCTGGAGTCTTGACGAGGCATGATTTTATTCTAAATCATATTAAAAGGAAAGCGCACTAGTTTAAACAGCACCTCAGTCAATCTATACTGAAACTAAATGCCAGCTTTTCCAAGCTAAAAAAGGGTCTTTAGTGTTTTCAAGATGCCGGAGTAGTGGGGATTCCAGGCTGTAACAAAACTTCATGAGCTACGATTAAAAAAAATGTTGCCATTTTTCCTCAATGGATGATGCCATTTGGATAATAGACAAACAAGTACATCTTAGTCATATTATCGCAAATGTTGTTCAAATCATTTTGTATAATTGCCTTCCAGAAATATCTTACATTATTGTATTCCCCAAAATCATATACCCTCACCAAACCCAAGATAACATGACAGCTTTTGTTATTGTGTGAGGTTTCTGCCCCTCTGAGGCGCAGTGCATTTATCATGGAGGAGAAAGTTGTGGTGTCCCCACTTGCAGGAATTTGTTTATTTATCATTCTAGTGTCCCGGAATTTGATGATTTTACTCTTTTGATTCTTGGTTGTTGTCAGTGTCATTTTTGCAAATGTTTTTTGTCATCCCACATAAAGAAATAGTAATGTGTAACACATACTATAATGTTTTTGAACTATTCTATAGTAAAGTTTTTGAATTAATATCTATAGTTGATGTAATAATATGCTGTAAATATTACACTTTAATACACTACACTTTACTGTAGTTAAAATTAAAAGGTGTTCTGCAGTATTTATTACTGATTCCTATAGTATGTTGTAGCATTCATTAACCAAGGGTTAATGTACTATATACATGTACTGTAATATGTACAGTAGAATACAATTCACTTTAGTAGTGATAATAACTAAAACTATAGTACTTACTATAAAATACTACAGTGTTTTTTTTTTTTTTTCATGTGGGATATTCTAATTTTGCAAATAAGTAAATAAAAATAAAATAAACTGCTGATAAATACACACACTCCTATACTAGCAAAGCTATGTTACTAATAAAAGTTGGATTAAAATTCCCTTCCAGCCAATCCGAATAGGGTATATGTCGAGCTAGTGTTTTTCCCATACTGATAAACTTCCGGTGACCTGTTATTGTGAACTTTTTTTTTCCATTTTATACAGTTCCTTTTACAGCATCGATGTTGTAATGTCATTAAAATACATTCAGTTAAATAGTTTTTGGCGTTCATTTAGTTGCTTAAGCGTAAAAGCCATTTACTTGCACGCACATCGGCATCGGCAGGCTAGCGCAGAAGTTCCATTGATTAGAGTGCAGGTAAAATAAATGCTCATATTATAAAGACCCGGCGGGGGAAAATGTAATTTAATGCTGTGTCTCTTGTACAATCTGATACCCACTTTATATCAGATATCACTCAGCTAGTGGAGATTGCTGATTTTTAAAGAAAACAGCCCTTAAATGCCCCGGTTTTTGCATTGGCATACAGTTCGCCAGAAGCGCTTAACCCAGGTTGCTGGCAAATTAAAAGTCCTATTAGCATGCTTTGGCATATACCCTATTGATTGTTCAGACATGCTGTACTTTTTTTTAAAATGCTCCATTACATAAAAAAAAATCAGTGTTTGTGCTTCTATAAATATTGTAGTAAAGGTGGTGAAATACCTCCACATTTGAAGCAGAACTTTTTTGCAGAAACTATTAACTATGACTAACTTATTAACAGAAGTATCTTAACTATCTTTTTTTTTTGTATTATTTAGTTTGAGATTGCTCCAGAGGACGACCCACAGAACGCAATCGTGGCTTCGTCAGCCCTCACCTGCCATGCTAACCTGCTCAAAGCCGTTGCTGCTCGCAGGTGAAGTCATGTAGGATTATTCAGAACTTTTTGAAGAAATTTTACCTCAGTGCCACAAATTTAGTGTACAGTGATACTGATAAATGATTAACATGAGACCAATCTGCATATATTGCAAACCAGCTTTTATTATGAAGATTTTAAGTGTAATTGAATAAATAAGGTTCTGTTGTTGGTGTGGGAGCACAGACATGCATCTCTCGGACAGCCCATGAATGCTGAATCAAGCTCTCTTTCACTGGTGTTTACAGATGAATGTCAACCTTTCTATAGTATAGTTCAAAAGTAAATAATAAAGATGAATGGTTCAGACGTATATCAGTATTTTGGATCTGTGTATTATTATTGACCCATATAATGACAGGAACTTAAAATAACTTCTGCTGTCAGCCATTGCTAAACACCACAAGACAGAAAGGCAATCACTTGTGTGGTTTCCAACCTAACATGAAGCAAATGAAAACAATAAAAAAAAATCCCAATTATGAATTAGGCATGTTTCCTAATTCCTAACAACTGATTGCTGAGAGTGGTAGCCTAGTAGTCAACAGAAACCTTTCAGTTTATTCTGCAAATCATTTCCATCTCCCGTTATTCACGCATAATTCTTATTCACACAAATCCAAAACCAACCAATCGTCGTTTGGCATGCGTTACTTCAAATGCACATTAACTCTGGGTAGTTGAAACTTATTTACTGTTCGACCTACCTGAAAAACTGTTATGAATTGTTTTAGTTGTATTTCAGCCCCAAAATATGAATCTGTGACTATATTGTCCAATTTTCTTGCATTTAACTTTAAATTATAAGATTTGTTGCCTAGAACTCTACGGTGACACGGAAGGAACGTGATGGTGGAGAAAAAAAATGGGTGGGAGAAAAAAAACGAGTGATAGGTAAACATATTTTTGAAAGTTTTTGTGTTCCCTCGCAAAGATGTTTTATATCCCTCGCAAAACTGAAACACTTCACTTCATACATGACAACCCTCCTGTTTTTGCCAGGATTGTCCCATATTTTACCATTATATCCTATTATTAGGTATTTTCCCATATTTCTCTCATATTTTTAATCTTAAAAGCATGTTAAAGTGAATATAGAAATGTTTGCATTCACTTTTCTATTAAACCTGTGCTTCGATCAGCACCCCTCATATGCACCCTTTGAATCAGTGAATGCATCTTTAAGCGCTGACTGACGGACGCGCTACGTATGATAAACTGATCCCAGATCAGCTTCTGTACATGCCAGTTAAAGTGACACCTCTGTTATTAAACAAGTAAAGAGCAGCAAATTAATCTCTCATTTTGTTTTGTTTGATAACAGAGGTTTCACTTAACGAACGCACTGATATATAACGACAGCATACTTTAACTGTTTGTGCTCATTTAAACGGAAATTAGTTGTGTTTAAAATAAAACCCGCAGGGCGTCTGGGCATGTTTACATATTATTAAGAGTATTTGTCTGTTTAAACACACACCTCAATCCCAAATTGTCCTGCACTTCAGCTCCTCTTTAAATGGCGTGTACAGCTGATCTGGAAGTCAGTCAGCGCTTATTCATGCATTCACTGGTTCAGAGATTGCATATGAGGGCCGCTGATCGACACACAGCTTTAATGGAAAGAAAGTGAACGCAGACATTTTTATATTCATTTCAACATGCTTTCAAGTTTAAAAATATGAGAGAAATATGGGAAAGTACCTAATAATAGGATGTAAAGGTAAGAATCTCAGCAAAAACAGGAGTGTTGTCATGTATGAAGTGAAGTGTTTGTCGAACAACAGTTTTGCGAGGGAACGCAAAACATATTTACAATTCCTGGCAAAACATATTTGCGTTTCCTCGCAAAACATCTTTGCGAGACAACGCAAAACATATTTGCAAGGTAACGCAAAATATATTTGCAAGATAACGCAAAACATCTTTGCGAGACAACGCAAAACATCTTTGCGAGACAACGCAAAACATCTTTGCGAGACAACGCAAAACATCTTTGCGAGACAACGCAAAACATCTTTGCAAGATAACGCAAAACATCTTTACAAGATAACGAAAAACATCTTTACAAGATAACGAAAAACATCTTTACAAGATAACGAAAAAAATCTTTGCGAGACAACGCAAAACATCTTTGCGAGACAACGCAAAACATCTTTGCGAGACAACGCAAAACATCTTTGCGAGACAACGCAAAACATCTTTGCAAGATAACGCAAAACATCTTTACAAGATAACGAAAAACATCTTTACAAGATAACGAAAAACATCTTTACAAGATAACGAAAAACATCTTTGCGAGACAACGCAAAACATCTTTGCGAGACAACGCAAAACATCTTTGCGAGACAATGCAAAACATCTTTGCGAGACAACGCAAAACATCTTTGCAAGATAACGCAAAACATCTTTACAAGATAAAGAAAAACATCTTTACAAGATAAAGAAAAACATCTTTACAAGATAAAGAAAAACATCTTTACAAGATAAAGAAAAACATCTTTACAAGATAACGAAAAACATCTTTACAAGATAACGAAAAACATCTTTGCGAGACAACGCAAAACATCTTTGCGAGATTACGCAAAACATCTTCACAAGGGAAGATGTTTTTCTCCACCATCACGTCCCTTCAGGGTCTCCGTAGAATTCAAATTTGATGCTCTTTATTTTGTGGCAGTATTTCCTTACATCACTGATTACAGATATTCTTATGGTGCCATATAAAGTTTCTAAGTTCCAGTATTGCAACAACACTACAATTACATTTAAAAAAAAAATAAAAAAAAATTGAATTACATTTTATAATATAATAACTGTTTTACTTATTTTTTTATTTTAACAAATATAGCCTTATGTGCATATGAGTTTTTTTTAAAGCTACTTTTATAAAGCTAAATATATATTTTAACTTTTAAAATCTGTGTAAATAATCTAAGAAATTATTACAAATAAAGATATTCATTCATGATTGTTTTTTAATGTAGAGGCAAACCCTTGACCAGCGTTGTTCCATCTGGAGCAGACTTTTTTGGTTTCTCTCATCCCACCATTCAGAACCTAATCCAGAGCTGCCCTGGGGCTCGCAAATGTAGCAAGTGAGTAACAACAACAACTTGTGTTGTAATTATTTACATATTAATGCACTAATGACATAAAAGGAACACTTTGTCCTTATCTGTGCCTTGTGAATACAGATAAATTGTCTTATTTTTTTTCTCTACTGTAGTTATCAGTGGGTGCGTTTTGAAGTTTGTCGTCCTGGTGATGGACAGGTGGCTCATGGTCTTTCTGAGGACGATGCATCTGTGAACTTTGAGTCCTTTCAGCGATTGCAGAGCTGTGAGGAGAGTCTGAGCAATCAGGCAGAATACAGCAGCACAGGTAGGACAACTACCACAAACCCCAGCTAATCCTATTTGCATTCATTTATTTTGTCAAGTCAGGTGATGTTTTACTTATGTTTAGCTTGAATTCAGCTTCCTCTATGCTTCTTAAATGTTATAAATTTCAAGTTTGTAACCTTCAGAAGAAGCTTGAAGTTAAGACAGATTTTTAGTTTCACCTTGCTGTATTGTTTTTGCAGAACAGCTGTATTTTGACATTTTTATTATTTGTGTTTAGTCTACAACAGAGCAGAGAAAATGCACTTCTACAATTTCCTTGGAACATAATTTAGGTCTAAAGAAGTTAATGTTTGCTTACTGGCCACTTTATTAGTTACAGCTTATTAATACAAATTGGATTCTTTTTTGTCCTCGGAACTGCTTTAATTCTTTGTGGTATAGAATAAAGAAGGTGCGGAAAACATTCTTCAGAGATTTCCGTCCATATTAACAAGATCGTAGGATGCATTGGTTTGCTAGCTTCACATGCATGATAGAAATCCCTCATTCCAGTAGATCCCAAAGCTACTCTATTGGATTGAGATGTGACTGAGGAGGTCATTTGAGTGTAGGGAACTCATTGTAATGTCAGGGCTTCAAATTAAACTTTTTTTTTTACTTGGTAACAAAACGTTTGGAGGTGCAAGCTAATATTTGGAGCACCCACGAAAAAGTAAGCAACATCAAATTGTCATTTGCATATGTCATGATTATCTCTATTTTTTTTTTTTTCCTTTTGTGATTGTGTAGGACATTTGTTCCTAAATTGATGTAAAATGACAGTAAAATGCCAATGGAAACCTTTTTTTGGAAAAATCGAAAAATCCATATCCAAATACTCTATTGAGTATTTCGATTTTTCTTCCAGTATTTTAAGCATTGTGAACATCGGGCTGATCTTTGACCTTCTCTGTTTTTATTTGTTATGTTGTTTATTTTTACTTCAATGAAACAGTAAAGACTGCTCTCTCTTTCTGACAATTGTAAGCCTATTTCTCCAATGGTGATTCTCTATTCCCCCATAATGTGCAAGAATTGGCATGATTATGTAAGGGAATGAAAACCGCTCACACCACAACAGCCACCGCACTTGCACAGATGCTCTCAAATTTTGAGGTTGCCCAGATTAAATTTCATTGTCACTTCATAAATTTAATTTCATCATGAAATTATCCTCAATTTGCTACTAAGTGGCCCAAAGTGTGCCAAGAAAAATATCCCTCACAACATTTAACCACTGAGTTAGTGTTGCCTTATGTTCTTATAATCATTCTGGCAGTTCTCCTCTTTCTTCAATATGACGTTTTTACCCATAGAACTGACACTGGACTTTTTTTTTTTTTATGATCCAAGCCATTCTCTGTAAAATCGAGATGTTTGTTTGTAAAAATTTAAGTAGACAGTAGACCTTAAAGTCTTGCACCAACAACCATGACACTTTCAGTCAATTTAAATGACTGAATGAAATTTTATCAATTTTGATGCTCATTTTTAACAGGTTGTCTTTATCATGCCCGCCCCACCCCGTTTTCTACCCGCCTCGGCCATTCCCGCTAACGAACAGGGGGAGAAAACCACCCTGCTATACAGAGTCCAAACAGCCTATAACAAGCTGTCTGTATAAACACACACACAGCAACAAACAAGCTAAACGCAGCATTCATTCACACACATACATTATTGTTATATATTGTTAGACCGTCTGCTCCCGTCCAAAATTAAACCAGTGACCGACTGCTCCCACGCTTTATTCTGAAATGCAGATCTCTACTTTGATGTTCACTGTTCCCTTAAGGGAATTCTGAAGCACAAAACATGAATAATGAACAAACTTGCTGTAACATAATAAAATGTTTGCTTTTTTCTAAATAAATGAACATAGTTACTCAACCACAATGGGTGCGAAAATACTGTACATAAAAACACACAAAGCACATGCAAACATAAAAGAAGCCAAAGTACAAAAACTCACAACAAATGATTAAAAGCTAAAGAAAATAAGTGTATTTTCAAAGACCTCTGAAAAGACTCAAAAGTTGGAGCTTTTCTTAAGGAGATTGGAAGATCGTTCCAAAGTCTTGGAGCTGCCACTGAAAAAGCTCCATCACCTCGACATTTTAAGCGTGATCGTGAAACTGTCAAATAGAGACGATCCTTAGAGCGAAGAGATCTCACGGGTTGGTGTATATTAATAAGCTCAGAAATATACTTCGGGGCCAGGCCATGGAGAGATTTAAAAACGTACAACAGTACTTTGTACTGAATTCTAACTGGATTGGCAGCCAGTGTAGAGAAACCAGTACAGGTGTAATGTGTTCTTCAAGAAAGCTGATTAAGGCACATCATGTCTGCAAGTCTAGTAGGGATACAGCTGTACTTATTCGTTTAGCATACTTTTTGTTAAACTGTGCAACAGTAATAGCTATTTTTACATTGTTGTGATTGGTAGGTTTAGGGTTGGGATGGGGGTAGACATTAATAAAACACAATGTAATGGGTAGTTTAATAAATAAAATAAATAATTATTGTTAACTTCTGGCCAGAGCTGGATCCCTTCTATAGTTTAAAGGCATATGTGCGTTTAACTGCTGCCTTGTGATTGGCTAATTGGCTGGTGTGTGTATATATAATATTATAATGTTTAATTTCAGTTGTAAAGCAGCTCTACAGACAATAAAAGTATGATAATTCACTTCAGTCAAGTCTAGTGTTGTTTAATAACTATTAATGTAGCAATGTTGCCCCTCATTTACACAAAGTAGGAATGCTAATAAATATTTGGAATATCATGGTATTTAAAAAGGTAAATTCCTGGTATTTAAAGGCTGGGAGGGTTTAGTTATTTTTGTCCACGTCATGAAATATCAGAGTGTTTTGTTTATCACTTTCAATTGTAGTTTCCATTATTTTCTTTTTTTTAATCCCATTGATTTAACCTTTCAAGTCTGGTATGATTTTTCAGCTACATTTTTATTCCTTTTATAATTTTCAAATGTAGGTAGCTTAAAGGGATAGTTCACCACAAAAATTTTATTTACTCTTTGTTTACTCTTCTCCAACTGGTTCTAAACCTTTAAGTTTATTTTCTTTTGTTGAACACAAAAGAAGATATTACGAAGAAAGCTGAAAACATTGACCATTGACATCCATGGTATTTATTTTTGTTCTATGGAAGTCAATGGTTACAGGTTCACAACATTTTCCAAAATATCTCCATCTGTCTTTAACAAAAGAATGAAACTCGTAAAGGTTTTAAACAAGTGATGGTTGGTTAGATGACAGAATTCATTTTTAATTGAAATATAAATAATTTTAATAAGAAAACAAATACATGTGATGTTTGTAAAACTATTATTGAGGTATCAATTTATGTGCGAGCAAGCACTTCACAGCCACACAAAAAAATATTGATTGTTGTTCTCACAGTGGCTATTAAAGAGCTCCAGTTTTTTATTTATAATGGCTTTTTCAGCTTTTCACATTCACATCAATGACCATATCAGAGATTTTTTTTTTAGCTTAGTGACAGCCCTGTACAGAAAACTCTTAATCAGCTTTGGAAGTGCTGTAGTTGCTATGGTAATACAAAAACTGTAATAATAATAATAATAATAATAATAATAATAATAATAATACAAAAAAATGATTACATACTGTACTGTGTTCATTACATTGAAACACTACAACACACTGTATGTTTACTGTAGTAAAAAGTAAAGCAAATGCTATAATATGTACAGTATGTTTGACTTTACTATGGCATGATTAAAAACACTGGTTACTATAAATGACTATAATATATGTTTTTTCATGTGGGATGTTTTGCATACAACCTTAAAAATTAAATTGAATGTCTTTTATGAAGGAAATAAATGAAATTTGTTTAATTTACAGTTCGAGCCCAGCAGCCAAACATCTCCTCTCACCTTCTGAGTCCAGCAGCCCTGCAGGCCAGTGTTGGGACGTCTCTCTCCAGCACTTGAGCTCATTCAAACACCTCTGACAGAGAGCTTAAACCAAGGTTAGCTTTCAAACTTTCAAACGATAAGCTCTTACCCAAACGATTCCTGTTAATGAAATAATTCCTACATTGTGGTAAAGCCTTTTATAATATTTATAATGTGATACTCGCATCTGCATTATGGCCAAGAAATGCTGAATAAAATAACCATTGGATTGAGTAACAGTAGTCTATTTTTATAATCAATTCCACAACATCCTTGCAAAGAAAAATAATCACTCTTATTTTTTTCTTTTTTTTTCACTTCTTAATTTGTTATGAAAGGAATAGTTCACTTAAGCAATTTGACGATTTCCTCAACATTTACTCACACTCAAGTGATTCTAAACTTTATTATCGGAAAGAAAATTGAAAAAATATTTGAAAATAGCAGCCATCCAAAAAAAATGGATGCCTGTTCAACAGAAGAAAAAAAAAACTGAAGCATTGTTTGCAGCAGCTAGAAGATGGGTAAATGGCAGAATGTTTGGTTGGACTATTCCTTTAAATTGAAATGTGGTGATCCTTACTTTGAAATACTTAAGATTAAAAAAATGACAGAAGTAGGGGACTAAATCAAACTTTGAGCTTTTAGTGGTAAACCCTGTTCATTCCAAAAATGGTAACTGTACAGTTTTCACACCAACAAATGCTGCAGTGTTGCTTTCAGTGCTCTACAATGCAGGATGGATTCTGAGTCCTATAATAATGTTTTTCTCTGCTGTTAATGAAACAGAGAATGTTAGTGACATCTGCTTTTTCATCTGGATTTGTTTTACAATATTTTGTAATCCTTTCTGTACAAATAGGGTGTGCATTTTGTTTTTACAAATTACAATTAGATGTTTTTTTGACCGACAGGCTGAACAGAATATGTTTGGACCTAACATTAGGGCTGCTGGATTTTGGTAAAAATCATAATCACAATTATTTTGGTCATAATTGTAATCACGATTATTCAAAATGATTATCAGTTGAAGTCAAAATTATTAGCGCTCCTGAGATTTTTTTTTTTTTATATAAATATTTCCCAAATTATGGTTAATAGAGCAAGGAATTAAAACAGTATTTCCTATAATATTTTTTTCTTCTGGAGAAAGGCTTTTTTTCCGGCTAGAATAAAAGCAGGTTTAAATATTTTGAAAACCCATTTTAAGGTCTAAAATATTAGCCCACTTAAGCAATATATTGTTTGATTGTCTGCAGAAGAAACTACTGTTACACAATGAGCTGCCTAATTACTCTAATTAAGCCTTTGAATTGCACTTTGAGTCTGAATGATTGTAGTTTAAAAAATATCCAGTCACATATTATGTGCTGTTATCATAGCAAAGATAAAGAAATTAGATATGAGTCATTAAAACTATTTTGTTTAGAAATCTTCTTTCCATTAAACAGAAATTGGGGAGGAAAAGGGTTGTTAATATTCAGGAGGGCTAATAATTCTGACTTCAACTGCATATATTATTTTCCACCCTGTAAAGAAAAGAGAAATAAATACAATAGAATAAAAATATGAAACAAACTGTGCTTTAAGCATCTTCACTGTAAGAAAAACACTTTAGCTAGTCCAGAGCAGTGAGGAATTTTCTTTTTTTTAATTAATGATTTTATGGGTCTAAAATTTTATTTGTAATTGTCATAAAAAGTTCTTAAGTCTTAAATTGAACTCTGTGAAACCTGCAGAAACCCTGATCCATATATTTTACACAGCGGATGCCCTTCCAGCCACAACCCAACAATGGGAAACACCTATACACTCTTGCCTTCGCACACATACACCATGGCCAATTTAGCTTATTTAATTCACCCATACTACATGTCTTTGGACGTGTGGGGGAAACCGGAGCACCCTGAGGAAACCCACGCAAACACAGGGAGAACATGCAAACTCCACACAGAAATTCTGAATGACCCAGCCGGAGCTTGATCCGGTGACCTCCTTGCTGTGAGGCGATCATACTACCCACTGGGCCACCGTGATGCCTTTGATGCAAGTTGCTTCTAAATAAAATCACTTATTAAAGCTTTAAGTTAGACTAGCTGAGGATTTCAATGAGTGTCTTATAAAGAGTGAATGGACAATAGAGGTTTCCTGCATTGATTTAGCCAGTAAACATGGTTTTAAAAAATGTGAATTAATGTAAACATAAGACTTTATCAAAAGAATATTCAACAGATTATCAACATCTGAGCCCACAGCAGCAGCTCTTTATAGTTCATTATTTACTGTTTAAATCAGTTTTCCTATGAATGTGGTATTTATTTAAAGAAATCTGACTTTTCCAGTCTACAAATGTGGGCTATTATTGTAAATAGTGGAGCATTTTTTAAGCTATATGTAGCATTTCAGTGAACACGCTTGGTGTGAACAGGTCTTTAAGTTTTAAATTTCAACTTGTTTTTCCAGTTTCTTTAGAGCAGAGTACAATACGCTTTTAGGCTTCATTTTGTCTTTATGTAGTAGGTTATTCTGTGTATGCGTTGAAAAGATTTTGTACCCTTAGAGTAGATCTCCTGAGATTCTCCTCGAATAACAGATTTCGTAAAGAAATGACATCATACCTTTCTTGGCATTTATAATGCTGTCATCATGTGGTAAATGATAGGACTTTTGGACTAGAACTGTTGGCATTTGATGCTCCGACAGACGTGTCCTGCTGATGTAATATTTGGAGGTTAAAATGCCTCAGACGGCCACTAGAGGTCACTGTAGAGCTGCGAAAAAACGATGCCTTCACATCATATGCGTTGACAGTGTATGTAATGTGACACAACTTAACTGTTCATATGTAAAATACTTGTTTAAATAAACCTGCATTACAAACCAGCTTTATATTGTTTGTGCTTTTTTGTTCACCATTTATGTGTATATGGTAGTCAGTAGTGATCTTGCTGTTGTTTTTTCAAAGCTTTGAATGTAAAGCTTTTACTTTAGATGCATATTGTATTGACTTTACAATGGTCACACAGAATGTTCAAGTCTTTCTGACAATAAGCAAAATAGATTCACCCTTTGACCACATCACTTTCCCAGCCATCCAAACCCCTTCTCTCCAAACCAACTCATGTCCATGGCCCATGCCATTTTACAAATTGCAATCAAAATACCGGGAAAGATTAATACAAGTTAATTTAAACATAAATGCAGGTAATTAGAGCTCTTAGGTCATCAGAGGTGTAAAGATTCAGGTCTTAAGTTCTGCCATCTTTAATGCCTTCTTCCTTTCTATCAGTTTGTCTGCAGTTGCTTTCTTTGCCTCTAGAGTTGAGTCTTTTGCTTTATTTATTCTGGCTGTTGAAAGTTCTAACATTATATATCATAAGCCTGAAGCAGCCAATGCCGTACAGGTAAAGAAATAGGCAGGTGCCATCTTTGGGCCATCATTAACTTTTTGTTTTCCTGGTCTTTTTATCAGTTATTTTTTTCCGCACAGGATAGTTTAGACAGGCAGTTCAAAATCAGCAATGTGTATTAGGAAGTTGCAGAGACTTTTAAGTATGGTGATGTACTTCCAACTGAAAGAGTAGTATGGCTATCTTTTTGTCCATCAATCCCTTTTAACAAACTAATGGTTGTGGTTACGAATTTTGTGGCTGACTGACATCAATGGAGAAGGACCACCAATCTAAACGCTGAAACTTTTTTTTCAGTGGATTAACCTTCAGAGATTGTTCACCTAAAGAATAACCATGTGCGCTAGCTAGATAAACAGTGCAACTTTTGATTTTACACAGACTTTATTTTTATTTTTTTTTTTGAAAAATACAATACTTAAAGTACCAAAGCCGTTTTTCTTAAATCATCCAAATTTGCAATTTTCATACATCTGAAATATTTAGAAATCTGAAACATCAAAACAAATAATTCATTGCCCCATCATCAAAGCTTTCCTATTACAAAGTTATTTTTGTTTTAAAAGGTCCAGACCTAGGAAACTATCAAATCATTTTCTTAATATTCGTCTATCAGTCCAAGTTTTTATAAGTATATTGTCAAAATGTTGAATGTATTCTGATTGTATGTATTCTGATTGAATGTATTCTGATTGAGACAAATGGTCTCATTTGAAATCGTTTTTATTATTTTTCACCGTCTTGGGATTATAGCTGTCTGAGAATGAGAAAGCTTTCAGATTTCATCCAAAATATCTGTAAGACACTGTAAGTGGTGATCATAAGGCATAACACTGACATGAAACCTTTAAAATCATGACATGACACATCTCATGAACATGAAGATTGCATGCATGCATTTGACAACTGTTATTAAGTGTCATGAGCTCAGTTACGATATTATTAAATCAAAATTGACATTGTTTGAGACGTCTTTATGACAGCTTAACATTACCAAGACAATATAACTGTTATAAACCTGTCTTAAACTGGATTGTCATGAGGCTTATACAATTATCATTAGTGTATTTTTGATTGATCACACAGTGGAGCAAAATAAAATTGTAATTTAAAAAAAAATCTCAGTGAAGGTGCCAATACTCTTAAATTATTATATGAAATATGATGAGTAATAACTTATATACAGTTGAAGTCAGATTTATTTGCCCCCGTTTATTTTTTTCCCCAATTTCTGTTTTACAGAGAGCTGATTTTTTTCAACACATTTCTATACATAATAGTTTTAATAACTCATTTCTAATAACTGATTTATTTTATCTTTTCCATGAAGACAGTGAATAATATTTGACTAGATATTTTTCAAAACACTTCTATACAGCCTAAAGTGACATTTAAAGGCTTAACTAGGTTAATTAGGTTAACTAGACAGGTTAGGGTAATTAGGTGAGTTATTGTAGTAAGAGTGGTTTGTTCTGTAGACTATAGAAAAAAAATAGCTTAAAGGGGCTAATAATTTTGACCTTAAAATGGTTTTTAAAAAATTAAAGCTGCTTTTATTCTAGCCAAAATAAAACAAATAAGACTTTATCTAGAAGAAAAAATATTATCAGACATACTGTGAAAATTTCCTTGCTCTGGTAAACATCATTTGGGGAATATAAAAAAGAAAAAAAATATATATATATGTGTGTGTATATGTATGTATGTATGTATATATATATATATATA